CTCAAGATTTTTTTAGTATTTAGTCCAGCACTTGTTTACAAGTAAATAATCATAACTTTTATACGTACTAAGAAACTCAATTGTAACCATAAACAAACAGACAGGTCCTAAAAGGCGTACGCAATAAGTTGTCGCATTCCTAGTCAATTTCTATTTTTTATTCTACTCTATCCAACTTTTATAAAAACTAAAAGGGGTAAATCAGAGTGAAAAAGGATATGGTTTCTGTACAAACAAAACAATCACAAGCATTAAAAGTTTACTCATACTTAAATAACTATCTCGTTTTACTGGTCAAAAAATACTTGTTACTACTTAATAACCTTGCGCGAAAAACCTAACTAATATCAATTAGTCACTAATACTTAACGCAGAACATAACGCAAAGGTACATCATCCGGGGTTGCCACAACACAACTAAAAAATAATCATATCATAGGAATAGAAACAGCATACGTAATAGTAATAAAGAATAAATGGTTAAAAAAGGAGGAATGAAACCAAAGGATAAAAATGTACAAAACTATATTAAGACTGAAGATTCTGGGGAAAATAAGTAATGTGTACACTTTTACCTTCTTTTTAAGGACATCATATTGGCCATGCTTACCCCATGGATGCCATCATTTATTTAGTTAAACACAAAAACACTGGTACAGATGGCTACCAAAACATATGTGCGCCATATAATCAAAATGAGACTATAAAGACGAAAGTGAGTATAATAAAAAGGAATAAATGAATAAAAATTAGTGTACAAGTGATGAAGAATTACGGTGCGAGAAGCAATACACTTAAAAAAATAAAACCAGAAATGATTTTTCAGTTAAAGTTTCTCTCATTTAAATGAACAAAGCAAAAGAAAATCACACCAGGATCGCCATTGGTTTCTATTCTGAACCATGTACGATAAAGTCTTAAGCTTATGAAGACTTGTAGTTCAGGCGCATGATTTAGGTGGAACTTGTTCTCGAACGGGTGTCCACAATTATCCAAATGCATTGATATAAGCGAAGATATTTCATAAAATTCAACGACTGTTGGCCTGCAATAACTATTTATTTATTTATTTAAACACATAAACATTAGTACAAGGAGCCACCAACTATATATGCGCCATATAAATCATTCGATTTGTGTGAGGGCTGCGATACTGTCCGGTTGCCCAAACCGAAACAGGTGGTCTTATTAGGGGGCCACACCCAGAGCCTTCGACCCAAAGGTCAGATCCACAAGGCAGTAGCGCAACGTCAGGAGATGCAGTCCCATGGTAACCGGTCACCAACAATTGGTTCATATGCCATCTGTTTCATTAGGATACTGGAGCCCATGTGCACCAACTCCCCCAGGTAGATCCTCCATATCCACCAACCTGGTTAAAGCGCCAGAAATTCGCTTTTCGTCCTCTCGATTTCGTAAGAAACAACCCCCCCCCCACGAGAAGGCAGTGAGTAGGACTTCCCTGGCAGTGGTTTTATGCACGTGGCCATGTGAGAGCAATTCGTGAGGGAGAGCTGACTCTCCCCAGTCTCGGCCGTACCAGGGCATTTGGAGGCTTGCAATAAGTATGGTGTTCTAACATTTAGAGGAGGTTGGAGATATGATCAATACATCCTTGACCAGAACGAAAACCAGCCTTCTCCTAGCGAATCATTTTTTCCCAGGCTTTGAGCACTCTGGGATGTATGACGGAAGCCAATAATTCGGACGCAATCGGAAGAAGCCTTATCCCCCAATAGTTACTGCATAGATAACATGAACCCTTTGTAAAGATAGGGACTATAATCAACTCATTCCCAGATGTTGGAACACTCAAATTCCTCAACGTTTGCAAACAACTCAGTCAGTTCCATAACCAGAAGATCACCACCACCCTTAAAAAGGGACGGCGGCGAGTTATCTGGGCTTGGCGACTTACGGTGTGTCAGAAGATGGTATTCCTTGTGGACTACCATCTCCTTAGGTGCATCAGTCGACACTGGTCAGGAAGGACAAAATATAGTTATCGGTGCCACCGGGGCAGCAGACTATTTGAACTGCCCCTCGAAGAACTCTGACCATCATTCAAGACGTCAGTGGAAGTTATTGATTGGCGATCCAACACCACAGATTGTTCTACACTAGACGTCTTGCTGCTGGTGCCTCAGTTGAACTAAAAAATCTTACATCAGCTACCAGATACAGCCACTGTCTTCAAATCGTTAACACACGCCGACCACCAGCCTTCTTAGTCCTTACGCACTCTCCACAATTTCATTACATAAGAATCTATTTTCAACGTCAAACACACGGTTACCCGGAAAAGACCGAAGTGCTCCAACGAGTTGTAGAGAGCCTATAGAAAATCAGCGATTAAAGCCGATTTCATGGAGTCAGCCAAATGTAGCCAATGCTCACCTATACTTTTCGGTGGGTTGATAGCTAGACTTGAACCTAACTCGGTTTGCTACCTAGTTGCAACAGAAAATGAAGACTATTTGCTTATGTCGATTCATTTAGGGTGATGAATTTGTTGGTCACTAAAACATAAGATAGGAATAGCATAAACGATAGCATGATCAGAGTCCAGATAAGTACTCCAAAAGGAGAGGTAGTCTTGAATACAACCACGCTAACGGCAGCTGGTCGAAATGTGATCAATTTGAATTCATTTTTGAGATGTAGAAGTAGGATGCTAGATAACACATAGCGATAACTGTGCCGATAGTCAGTGCTAGCCAGAAACAGGTTGTAGTTTCAACAAAGTTGCAGGGAACAATCGCCGTTATCTGACCTGTGATCAACAAGTCTCCATGGGCCACCCAAAAGGCTCTCTTCTGTACCTAGAGGTCTCACCAATGCATTCAATTTTCAGGTTCGCACTACAATATTTTTTTCGAGCACACTGTAAAAAAACACTTGATTGGTGATAAAGCTCATCTATGATTGCATCCGGGCTGCAATGTGCCGGGGCGTAGGTGAAGATGAGACATCGTTTCTCACACCGAGTTCTTTTCACTCTGATAGAGCTTCGTAATCTAATGACACATAATCGACTGTTATTGGGAATACAAACGATTAGTGCTGTCTCGGCTCCAGCGCTTAGTGAGACACTAACGCCAGCAAAACCAGAGGGAAATGACAAATTATCCCCGAAACAAGCTTTTGGAAGCCACAGATGAAGGACGAATCTGTAGTATATCACTAGTGTTGAACCCGTCTCGGGTAGACAACAGACGTCGAAGTTATGATTTTATAAAGACAGTAAACCCTACCAGTTTTCCGATCTGCATTAGTGTGTGACGTTGAATGAGGGTTGAAAGGAACGTGGTTCCAGAAAGGTTGGTTCGGAATTCGGTTGTAGCATTCAACTTCCAGTCAGTTAGTAACTGAGGATCGCTTACATAGGACAAGGTTCCCACCATAGGCGAGCTGATGTAGAAGTTGAGAAATAAGGGAATACGCAAAATAGTAAAAGGGAATAGACAAGTGACTTAATGTATGGCAAAAACAAATGTCTTGTACTTTTAAAGGCTACGTTTTAGTCATCAGGTAAAATAGAGAAAACTGTTGCTTAGTATACTCACCCTTCCATCAATAGACGGATAACTTACATCAGATGCGTGACACAGAGTTAAGTGTCAAACACACAAAGACCATAATTCAAACCGACACGTGATTATGGTGTTTAGAAGATCAAAAAAGGAGCGAAACGTACCTAACTTCTGCTGTTAGCTACAAAACAACCTTACTGAGCATGCTTATTTCCCTACAAAAGTGAAGTTGCAATCGTTTCCGTTCAGATTTTTTATTTTGAAAGATGATATAGCTAACTCAAGATATATCGCTTCGTATAAAAATCAAAATTGTTTATCCATTTATATTTGTACATTATTAATAGTTCTCATATTGTTCATATGACCTGAGCGAGTGTGTACGGTAAACACTGATAACCTGCCTAGTTAAACTAAAACAGCCACATCTACTACTAATCAACGATAAGGTTCAAGACAAAATGATTGGGAATTAAACCGTAAAGACCTCTAATAGTACACTTTTGCTTAAGGACCCGATGTTTTAGTAACATGACTTTTACAGAGAACTTCGGAAAATAAGATATTAGAATCATGTCAGCCAAACCTATGACATGGATTGATCATACTACGAGCTGCAATACTACAGTAAGCTAAGACGCGCTAACTGCCAATTAATTAGTGGTAAAAACTTATCTTACTGTTCCACACAAACGAAGTATTCATGACTAGAAAAAAGTGGATTTCATAAAATAACAATACTTCAGAGGTTCATTAAAATTAATTGTAATTGTTATATTTAACAATATACATCAGCATGTGCATAAAAAGCACTTATTATATCGAACCGACAAATTGATATTTAGTTGTGCAACTTTCAATTCAGGAAAATATATATGATTTTGGATTTAAGTATGACAGGTTGAGAAACAAACAGTATGGAAATGCTGATTGACAGATAAACAGAAAGATACAACTGATGTTTTGTCAGCCTCGATATCCATATAATTTGTACGAATATAAAGATAGTGACCTTGATAAGATAGACTGAATCTTCCTCAACAAGTCAACTAACGGTTTTATATTTTTCTAATATATAGCTCAAAATAATTAACATGCACAATTTTCCATAATCGTATATTGCATAAAACAAGAGGACAAATAAAGTAAAGGAAGAATCGATATATGTACACTCAGAGATTAAGCAATCATAACAACATCGAAGTCAATAAAAATAATACCAGTAAACGGGAACAATAAAGTCACAAAGTTTGTATGTGTGCAAAAATGCCATTGTTATTTTTACTACTTAGTGTGTACAGCAAATTGAATCAAAACAAATAGGAGGCTGACAAAAAAGATTAGTCGCGCGATGAAAACATGTACAGAACGCGATTAATTTTAAGAAAAAGTAGAAAAGTTGCAGAAAGCTTACCTAGAATGATATCTAAAATCGCATTGTTATATATATATATATATATATATATATATATATATATATATATATATATATATATATATATATATATATATCGAAAGGAAAACAAAATTCATACAAAAGCCCAAACAAGTTAAGTTTTAAAACATTTGTATGTTTGTGTACGTAATTACGTACAAAACAATTATTTAAAGTAACTTTTTAATAAAACTGCTAGAGCAGATGTGGAATTATGCTAAATCAGATGAAGAGTTTATGAAGACCGGATACTGATGAAGGCCAGTCCACAAATATAGCTATTATAATCATCATTCAGACACTTTGAAATTAAATTCCAGTTTTTAAATAAAGCCCATTGGCGCCCAATATAGCATAGTGGTTAATTTATTGTATACAACATTTTCGTTTGCGCTTTTTACGATCTTTTCCCTTCTTCTCTTTCTATAAAATATTTTCAAAAGCCGTGTAAATTAGTGAGTATCAAAAACTATGATTATAGAGAAAAAGATCATGAAAATGATAAACAGTAGTGTTTAGTGCGAGAAATTTCTTCCAAGGAATACAAATAAAAAGGTACTTTTAACTAAACCTTAAAAAACTAGCATTTCACTGTATCATGGTCACGTCTCTAGGTAACTTTTAATGAAATGAAAACAGAAACTGTAGAGCATTAACATGCACTTATCTATTTTGATGGGTTTTCTCCAGCTACTTGCGGTCTAAAACGTTCACATCAATTATCTGAAGTTTTCAAATAGCTTTATCATGCTCCCCCTGTTAATACAGAGAGAGAAGACATACATATGAATTACGTAAAACCAACCGGTGATCAAACTGTGACAAAAATAAATTGGGTCGACCGTTTATAAGGCTAGTGAATATTCTAGAAAGCAAAAATGAATCCGGGCAGCACATAAAGAAAACACCCTTAAGTGAGTTTTCTGGTCCCTAAACTCATTGAACAGATAACGATGACTGTCTGCTACAACTACGCTCTAACAAATGTCATTCTAACCAAGCACTAACTTTAAGCATAGGACGACATTTGTATATGAACACTCCGAAATATCAACTCAATGGTACATATAGATCAGCTATCGTAGAGGGCGCTCAAAGAAAGTTACGCATTTCGGAGCTGATATTTTGACTGATCATGCTCCAGTGCGAGCACGCGTTTACCTGATTCTTTACTGGAAACATGAAAGTCACAACGGGAAGATATTCTAAAATTCGGCTTAAAAATGAAAAAGTTAGGCGTGTATGTCAGGAACAACCAGAGAAGCCCTTTGTCGATCATTAAGTGATGCTCACTTTGATGTTGCTTCGGATGATATTCAGACAGCTGTGAACAGAGCAGTGCGATTTATGAGTGAACTTCACCAAGCGGTAAAGGGACAAAAGCTAATCTGAGGTGATGAACAGCAGCAAGGCAAGACGGCTATACTCCGGAAATCTTTAGGGATGGTGGTCAAGTTTTAACAGTTAGCTTAACTGATTCATCAACTGGAATCTGAGGGCCGGACGTAGTAGTCTTACAACACTGGTCCTGACTACTTCAATTTATAAAAAAAGGATAGAAAACCTATTGTGACTAGTCTAAAAATACTAAGCTCCATGATAATCCAACACTTGACTAGGGCCCTAAGAAGAAAAAGACTAAGTCGGTTTATAAACCTTAACGTAGTGCATATAGTAAATATCCACTCTTCATCAGGTTCAGCAGCATACATGCTTACGAACACTTAACTATAACTGTATTTCTTGACCCTAGAGGCCACTTGACTATAAAAATCGGAAAGCCTTGTGGGTACCATCGACAGATGTATAGAAGTATGTGAGCCGTGATGACTCATTGCTTGGTCATTGTTGGTTGAGTCAGAGCTGATTGAGAACGATAAACGGGATTGGTCTGGTTCTACGCCTAGATAAATTATACTGAAATGGTTGAGTGCGTTAACCACTTCGCTAATCTTGGAAGTTTTACTAGACCCAGTAGGTTGGCGTTTCACGAAATCTTGGCACGGACTTAGGAAGTTCTTTTTGGTTCCGGCAACTTTGTCACATGCGGCGTAAGTGAGACGTCCACTGTTTGATTGAAGGGTGAGGTAGTGAGCAGCAGCCCTGTGTTCTTTCTCATGGCTTTGAAACGTAGCCTTTAAAAGTATAAGACATGCGAAGTTCACCAGCATTTAATCATAAGTATTCTCGAATTATTGCTCGTGTATGATAGAGCAACCGAGTGATCAATGCTGAGGTTAGACGTAGGGTACTAGGCAATGGTGGCAAATTGGCTGTTGTGTAGTGTTACCAACTGTATTGGGAACATGTTATATGAATGCCTTACTAGTTTTATTTAACACATTCGTATGTTTTTTAGTGTATTTCTAACTAGACGTTGGGTTATTGAGGGAGATAAAACTTTAATAACTATATTAGTTGGACTATTTTTGTTCTAATGATTGTAAAATCATTTTTACATTTTTACGAAATAAGGTCCTCATCTATCGATACCCAACAGTTATACTTACATCTAGCTCTGAAATGCTAGCTAACTCAATTTAATTTTGCTGATAATAATAGATTACGAAATTCAAACAGCTCTGCAGAACCTCAGTCACAACACAGAACCTGATACGGTTCAAGTTGCCGTTTCCCATTAGCACAGAGATAAAATCGTCAAGTTAAATCCCAATATAGTAAAGTTAGTAATATTCAGTTGTAGTAAGAAAGACCAGGCATTGAAGACACCATTCGAGAAGACAAGCAAAAAACGTTATGAACGTAGAATCTCAAAATTTGAGAGAAAACAAAGAACGGATGCATTTGTGCCATTGCAAACGATTTTGAGCCATGTGATTCATAGTCTTTATCCATTGGCTGCAGCATATACGTGAACCTTAACCAAGTGGTCTAGGCCTATTAACATGCCCAAGTCCAACTACCAGCGACTTAATGGGTTGATGCCATGTGTTAGTTTGGTCACTCCTAGCTTTCGTCCAGCCTACTTCAATACCAGAAAATACCACTCATCGAAGTAGGTAGTGGTTGGATGAATGTAACGCCTATCTCAACCACCTTACCTTAGTTGATGAAGACTTACTACCTCGGCAACGGGTTTCCCATCCTTACCTAGTACTCTACTCCTAACCCAAGCATCGCTTACTTCGTGATCCCAAAATACACCAGCGATGCTTCCAAGACTTAAGAATATCCTCTACCCTTAATGGTCATTTTTCACATCCATAAAGTAGAACAGAGCAAACTGCTGAACAGTAAACTTGTCCTTTGGTTGATAGAAAGATATCTTGACTACGCCACAAGTGACGCAAGTTGGCAGAAGTCAATCGAGCCTTCTGAATCCTTACCGAGATTTCGTCGGACAAAAGAGTATCAGAACTGATGAGACTCCTAAGTGAAGCGGTTGATGAGTTCAACTATTTCACCCCCTATCATTAATTAATGCGCTGATGTAAGTCAATCCTGAAGCAGCACTTTGCATTTGGACGAAGAGAACACGATCTCAAATTTTTTTGGATTGTTGCTTAAGGTGGTCAAAAGACTGAGTTTTGTCAGTCTTCACCAAACGGAACTGTTATCTGTGTATTCTAAGTCAACAAGCGAATCTTTTGGTAGACCAACCCCTGGAAGTCAGAAGATGAAAATCCTATCTCTAAGACCATGCCTAGGACAAATATGAATGAAAATGAGACTGAACAACCCTGACGAACACCAATTAAAGTAATCAACTTTGATGGCGGTCGACCATAAGCTCTGATTCGACAAGTACCGTTCGCGTCGAGAGTTTATACAAGGTTAATGTACTTATATATATATATATATATATATATATATATATATATATATATATATATATATATATATATGTTTATATATTACCACCACTGAATTAACTACTATGAATCCGGTGTTCATCTTGTTGTGCTAATGAGGTATGGCAACTTGGACCGATGCACATATGTGCCTGGTCCTACGTTGTAGCTGACTCACTGACTAATGTATTTATTTGGTAGGCTTTTCAATGATACACTGTCAGAAGACCTCACGATCAACGGAGTTGGGCAACACCTTAAGATTAAGGAATATAACTGTAGTCGGATGTCGAAAATTATGTCTGTTTCAGAGCCCGCCGCATTGTGAATGTTTGGCTTATACACCCACATTCAGGTCTGAAACCAGCATGATTTTCTCGAGCTCTAGTTAGACGTCAAAGTATTATTGGTGCAAATGTTTTAGACACTAGTTTAGTGAGACTGGTTCCTGTGATTTCTATTCTTTCTTATAGACTAGGACGATCAGCGATCGAGACCAGTCATCAGATGAGACTATATCCAGTTTTCAGATTTTAGCTAAGATTTCCGTATATTTAACCGCTAAAACCGGACCACCATCCTTAAAAATTTCAGGAGTTAGCCCATCAGGCCCCATTGTTTTGCTTGGCTTTAGATTACTTATAACTTCTCAGTCTTGTTAAGAGTTGGCGGACTTAACTAATCCGTCATTCAGGTTGCTTGGAGACAGTGGCTAACTGATGTGTGGCTGAAGGCCAGGTGAACTGCTCCCTAAAGTCTGTATCGTTTTAATTTCCTGCACTGAAAGTGAATAATACTCCAGTCTTTTTCCGAGATATTTCCACTAATAGTCGGATCTTTAATAGCCGTTTCCCTGATCAGTTTGAACAGTTGTCTGCCGTTACCCATTTTTGTGACCTTTTTCATCTCTTCTGCTTTCGCTATCCACTATTGCTCACGATCATTACGTAAGCTTCTTATCAGCCTACATTTAAGCTGCCTTCGCTCCTCATCGCGCTCGGAGCCAGCCAGAGCATCTATCGGTTCTGTAGACACCGCTGAAATCCAGGATGGATACCACTTCTATGGATGACTAACTCCTTCCCCAGTAGTGTCCGGAATATATTCCCAAGATTTTCATTAATTTGAACTCGAAGAGGTTTTTAGGTTGTGGCTTTTCTACGTCGTTAGATGCAGAAAAATACGTGCTTGAATTAAAGTACGATCTAAATCTAAAAATGTGCTTCAAAATGAGCGAAAGTTTTTTATCGAGTCTTTCCGACGATGGTTCATGTGAATGTGGGAGTCGCCACGTTAGACGATATTCCCCTTAAGCTTGCTAGAAAATAGAATAGTTGCAGCAGACGGTCGCCATCATCTGTTCGCTGAGCACGACACAGTACAACCCCCTTAAATACCCTTTGATTCAGTTTATTCTACTTACTTCAGCATTGGAATCACCTTCTACTATTGCCACTTTAGAGCCTTGAGCTTTTTGAAGGTTGGGTAGCTTTCTACGAAATTCATCCGAGCTGCAGTCAGTGAGGGCGTAGACAGTTATCAATGTACTATTTAGTCAGACGGCACACAAGTGACTGTTCATTGGGATCCAGTCTAACAGGGCATGCTTTGCTTCTTAGTCCTATACCTAAACTAGTGAGGTCACGGGAAGTAACAATGGTGTCTTTAGATTGACTACTTATCTATTATCACCAAAGCCATACTGCAAAAACTTGTGCACTTTTACCTAGTTAAACATACATCAGTTAGCACTATGATGAACTAAAACATCTGGGATCCAAATATATCACCAATTAAATGCTTGAAGTGGTTACAAAAACTCCAAACTGGTAAAAGTAAACCTGTGATCTAGATTTATGACTTCATAAAGTCAAACTCCTAAACACAAAGTCGTTAACCGTAACAATGTAATTTCAAGTGTAACAAGCATTAAAAGTAAAGTATCATCTTTACCATCAAACAACGGTCTATTCTCTCGAAAACTAACGGTATCCTTTAAACGGCCACTTTGTCGATAAGGAAGTAATGTTCTAGCAGAAGACTCCTAGCTGGTTTGTAGTAAGGTGCAAAATGAGTTACTATGAATAATATACACTTGTTGTTTATCCCTTTAATTGTTAGACAAAAAAATTGATATTGATCCATGAAATCAATTGGTAATTTGAGACATGAAAACGTAAAGATTTATCCGGTTATAATTTTGATTCTATAAATTGATGAACTTGAAGCAGGACAGAGACAATAACGCCAAGACATCAGTCGAAACCAATCCTTCTTTATATTTGTTTAAAATATTTTTCGTGGTACTATGACTAAGTCTAATCGTAGTCAAGGAACGGGGTAGCCTCAAACTATCTAATTACCATGATCTTTTCAAGTTGCTTTCTGTCTGCTTAAGGCTGAGTGCTTCTATATGTTGTAGATTTTTACTTGCAAGACGAATTTGATTTATCAGAACTTGATTATTACAAGTGCTAGGAATTCCAACCAAGTTCTAATAGCATTTGAACGATAATAGAAACCGACAGCAATAAAAATAAATTGAGGTGAAATAAGGCCATATATGAATATCTTTAACTGAAAGAAACAAAGAGCGGTGAACAACTACGTCACGCTACTTGGTTTTCTTTTACTAATCTCGACATTAATAAGCAATTGAATCAGTTAGCCAATAGCTTCAGGAATGTCAGTTTGAGCCATTTTTCAATCTTTTAGGATTTGAAACTATAATAAATAGGTGCTAGAGGCAAAGACTTTTAACTGGTTTGGGTAGGAAGGTAAACAGTTTTATCAACCTAATCATCTCGAAGCGTGGAGACAGAATTTAATTACAGGTTTAACCAATAAAAAGCAACTCCGAAACTCTCCAACTAAAATAACAACTGTCCATGAAAGCGACCCAAGCTTGTGGTATAAATGGTAGGCTTGACTACTTTTAAATCACTTACAGATTTTCTGATCTCCCGGACAAGTTTATGAAACGCATCTTCCACACCTTGTCTGGTCTTGGCGGAGGTCTCAACATACGGGATATTATAAGAGTGGGCTAAGGATTTTGCCTCCTCTGTACAAACACTGCGATTCGTGAGGTCAACTTTGTTTCCGACAACTACAAATGGAATGGAGAAAAGTTTTGTCAACTTACGAACCATAGGAACTTCGTCGGCATCTTTAACTCTTTTGATTTGCTCTCGATATTGATTTATATCATCGTAGCTCTTGGAGTTGTTTACGGCAAATACGCATAAAAATCCTTCTCCAGTACGCATATACTGATCTCGCATTGCACTGTTTGGAGAATAAATGTGTATTTTGAATTACCTGTATTCCTCTTGCCCAGCGGTATCTAAGATATCTAACAAGCATATTTCTCCATCAATGACCATCTGTTTTCTGTAAGAGTCCTCTACAAAAAGTTTAAATGCCTGGTCTTGTATTGGCTATACCTATCGTTGGGTCATATTCCTCAACAAAACTATGGAATAGTTATTAAAAATATTAAAAGCTTACTGATTCTGAATAAGCTGGATAGTAAGAGCACTTTTGCCAACTCCGCCAGCTAGAGGAATAGGTATTCATGTGTAGATAGCGAAGCTTACCTCCAACAACCACTAACTTGTACTCAGTCATAAGAAACTACCAAGCACGAACGAATTACGCCAAAGGCCCGGATGGCCTTGAAGTGCGAAACATAACAATTGAGAATAATATCGAATGGATCGACGGTAAGCGCAGTTCAACTATTTCTGTGACAATACTGTATGGAAAAAGAGTAGAAACTTCACTACGAACTTCATATCTCTTACTTAATGATTTGAGCTGTAAACAGAAGATAAAATTAATTATTCAAACATTTGCTTTAGGGACAGAAACTTGATCGTTTGAACGAGCAGTTAACAAATCTCCGAAATAAATAGCTCTGTAAGTCTTCGGCAATGGATGCTGACCACATTATTTTTAATGGACTCAGTTGAATGCATCCGCACCAGGTCACGAGTGGGAACGCCATGCTCAACATTCCCTGCAATCGCTAGCCATTATAGATCAGTCGATCCTCAATATATTAATAACCTACCTAGTATATCCTCGAACCTTCTCATTTCGGTCTTCAAATTTCACTTGATGGGTACGATTCATAGTAGGTGTTACTGGTTAAAGCGTTTTCAAACTACAAATACCTGTGGCATTTTCAAGTGCTTCTTTCCGAATCACTTCACATGCAGTGACCTCAAAAGGAACGAAACCAGGACTGACCTAAGCCCCTCTCAATCTAGGTTGCCGATGTCCCTCCTGGAAGACAGCGGAACAGTCGGCATGGAACATGGAATATCGGAATAATGAAGAAGACAAAGATGCATTCAAATAGTTGCTAAACCAAGTTGAAACTTGTCTATTCTTGTAAAAAGTTAAACCCGCTGTAAACATGACGAACAGCAAGGACAGGCCTTAATAAATATGTTGCTATATTGTTGTATTCAAAAGAAAACCAGTCGATACACAAAGATTTGAAATGATTATGTGTGACGATGGGGAAAAGCCATCATAGGATGGCAAACCGAAGACTCTAGGACAATAAGAGTAATCACATGAAAGGATAGAGAGTTGCATTAAATTTCATCCACAGCTAAGCACCCACCAATGATGGGAGCGAAAAAGATGAAAAATATTCGCTGTGCTGTGTTCAGGGTTTGGTCAGTAAGTATTGACTAGAAAATCTAGAGTGCCATAAGCCAAATTCAGTGTGACATTACAATTCTAAATAACCGCAAATGAAGTCTATAATCAGCCGAATTTCAAGGAGAACGGTTTCATTTGGGCCCACTAATTTCACATCTTTTATTCACTACACACATCAAAGACACATGCGATTGGTTTGCACTGTGTAAAGCTTTTTCAATTGGTAACAACCTCAAGGCTGTATTTATATTTCATGGGAGTCAAAATCGAAATATCAGCCAAATAATACAAAATGTTTGCAAACTTCAAGGCGGTAAGTCTAGAGTAAAAATCTGTAAGGTATAGGAAATAGTTTGCATATACCAGTCCATTTATATTTACTTTCACTAGTTATATATCATGTACATTTATTTATGTTCTTCCCACCATTTTGACCATGTGACTATATAGTAAAAATAATGATAGTTACAATAATAGATTATGGTTAGTTAAATACTTTGAGCTACTCCCATTAAGACAATGGCAGACAGTATATCAGCTGAGGCGCTGAAGTCGTATGTATAGCTAATTGTTAATAAGTCTCATGTTTTCCCAATGACCCGGTGGAAAGACATGCACCAGAAAAATGAAAAGAGGTTTTCAAGATTCCTGTCACGTTCTTTATCTGTCTACCCAGATATACACAGGAAAGAAATTGTCTTGATCTTATTTAAAGCATGAACATAACAGGCTAACTGGTCTAACCGTGAAGCCAAAATGCATGAGTCCGAATTAAGACGAACGGTCTCTGGAAGAGAGATGAAAACTATTCTATCACCTGATTGGTTAACAAGAGAGAAAGAGAGAAGACGAGTAAACTGGAACATCCTTAGATTTGCTCCTGATTACTGGTCCCAAATCAGTGCAAATGATTAATCAATAAATAGACGATTAACGCGACCACAGAGCACAAACAATTGGAACTATACAATCATGTCCAAACCGGTCATTAAGGTAGAAAAATAGAGTACTAAGGGTCACTTTTAAATTACATTAGTTTGGAACACAGAAAGGTATAGCAGTGGACCATACATCAAACAGAAGTTTATGGTTTATAGATTCAACTCGAGATAAAACTAGATGTTAGTACTTTACATACTTAAAATTAAGCTTATTTGCGACGAATTAGGTCGATTAGTTAAGAGTTGACTTTAAGCAGATAGGTATATATCAAAACATTAAAACTCAAGTATTTATTCACTCCCCTATTTTACATAGGGACTACATTCTCTATCATCTTTTTTTAAATGTTTAAAAGCTTTGTGTGTTCAAACAGGTTGTCTCGCACTCCACTAGTTTCTTCTATCGGCAGAACGAAGGATACCTACCAGCACGAAAAATAAAGTCACCCAAAACATCTTTCGTTGCTTATCATGGCCCCTTTTTTTCCCTATTCACATCAATATCGAAGAAAGGAAATTCCAGTAAATCCGAGCAATAGGAGAGGATAAAATCGTTATAGGTACTGGAGAATGTTCCGGAAAGTAATACTACTCTGAATAAAGTAGATGACCAGCTCTCATAAAGATCATTTACATACCGATCAGATAGCTACACGTCTGATTATTTTTGACAATCGAGTGAATGGTACTCATCACTATAAATAAACTCCTTTGATCACGAGACAACGTGGATAGTGAGCAGTTCATAGATCCAGTCCACGTGAATATTGATGTCAGAAAAGAATGGCTACTGTTGCTTTTCCTCTTTTGCCAGCTATTTACTGAACCGCGATGATCTCCACACCAAAGAATATGCAATGGAATACGACGTGCACTTTATGCACACCCTGATAACTCAGACTTTCGAGATAGCTTGAAGAAGTATCGTGTCAAACGATTAATTTTTATGATCTACTGGAGTCCATAAATAGAATAATCATTAGTTCAAATATGGCAGTGTAATCATTGATACTCATAAGCAATGTTAACGCCTAGATAATATACACCAACAGTATGTACAGTTGCTTTACCTTAGGCAAGTCATACCTACATGCTGATGACCTGAAGACAGTATATAATACAGATTTACTCACAGACGAGTTCTACAAATGATGCAGAGCGAATTGGGTGAAGCAGATAAGTAGTGTGAGCACCAATGCCTAAAATTCGACGCAAATAAATGCGGACAGCTGGACATGGGGGGGTACACTACATAAAATACGAATCACTTTGTGAGGCAGTGCTTCTCAAACTTGTAACCGCGATCAACCATGATCTGCATTAGTCTTATACCCTTAACTTCTGCAAATTCATATCTCCTAAAACGTAGCAGTAGCGACGATTAATAAGCTTTATGCTGTTAATCCTCCATAAAACGAATCTCAAACTCTTCTTAGCAACGCTGTTGTCAGACCTTTCTCAAAGTGCTTCTCCATTCTACTTTAATGACCAGTATCTACCTGGTAGGTTTGAAATAGAGGGAGTTCAACAACATTTACGCCGTAAATGTTTAAAAGTGACCCTTGTAGTGTCTATCTACCCAGATGAGACAACCTCAGACTGGAACCCCTCTAACATAAAAGTAACAAAGGAAGCATACAGGAAACAATCACTCTTGTTTGACTGCGTTAAGTTACTTAAGCCAAAGCTTAAATTTGCGCCCTTACTTTAGCTCATATATATTCATTGTAACTGAGCAAAAAAGTAGCATTTTAGTAATACATATAGGAGGTCAATCATCCTTCTCAGTTATATAGAACCTGGTTTTTATTGTTATTATATTATCACCATTTTCTTTTATCTACTCGTTTTCAAATATGGTAAATATAATGCTAATATTACTGAGACTTGTGCACTACTGCATTTTCGAAGAAGCCCGGATTGGCTTCTTCACTACACTTATGTACCCATAAAATGTTTTTGAATAATAATAATACTATTGATTGTCTTGTTTTCTTTTGACTTTGCATACCCTGTCTATGATTACACCTGAATTATTTGAACAGATCAGTGAACTATCGTCTGCAGTTAGTGCCAATGTTAAAATACAGTTTGTAACCAGCAAAACATCCCGGTTGTCTCAGCAGCGAGTTAGATTTTGCATTGTTCTCTCTGCGTATTTGTCGATTTTTTTATCCTCAAGGTTAGAGGTGGCAGAGTTTAGAAGAAACCTGATTTTTTAATTCAAACTGCCGCCTGAGCCGACCTAGACCTATCGCACAGAAGCAAACTTTTATGGACACATCAGACTACTTCCCGAAAATAAGTTATCTGTTGTCATTACCTAAAACACCAAATAAAATCTCAAGGGCGTACCTTCTTGATTAAGCTTCAATAAATACAAAATATCTTCCGTCGGAAATACTTATGATGGATATCGTTCATGCTTTTGCCATGTTACTTAGCAAAGCTCTTACTAAACCTGGGTCTTCAACGTGCATGAATATATCAGCTGTAAACTCAGTTAACACTGGCTCTCCAAATGTCCAAAATCACACACGCATAGAAATGTAAAGTAATAATCATCAGTAAACGGATTTTCGCATTTTCATTTACTCTTCCGATCAAGACAACAGTAAATCAAGCACGTTTTTAGCTATCCCCAAATATGTGCATATATTTGATTTCTTCAGTTTTCTGCCTCTTATGTTTTATATTTTACCATTATGATGAATTCATTAACTTTAAACCACGTTCTTACTTAGGTTCAGTTTAGTTGTTTAACATTAATCCACTAATTTCAGTGCGACTTAGGTAAAAGTTTCTGAGATGATTGGAGGCAAGTAAATGGCCTGCTCAATTATCTGTTACTACAGCACTCAATTATGCAAACGTAAATTCTCCACCTGGAAAATGTCGTATAGTGGCATATGTGAGAATGAATCATGATAGGTTGAAGACAATCAATGGCATATATACCACTGACTCAAATTCATCTTCCTAAACAGTTTTCAACAAATGTGTCTTTATCAATAAACACTACAAGCAATTGCTTTATTTTATCAGCACAGCTGCACCATCGAAACCGTACAAA